TTTCTTGTCGTTAAACCATGTTATTATTATGTTCAGGTAGTTGTGGAGAAAAAGATAATGTGTGAAAAGCTACCCGTGTTGTGAGGGATGTGCGCCGGTAGATGGAGGAGTACGGCTGTTCAAATGTTATATTTCAACCTGTCTGCCAGTGTTAGGATCAGGGGACATTTTCAGATTTGCATAGAATGACTAAATTCACTTTTATTCCTGTTGTAATTCTTTATCAAAGAAGAGAAATAGCGACTTAGTAAGTTTTATGCCTTTATGACTCGATTGTAGCTGACCGTGAAGAAGTAGATGTAGTAACAAGAAATATTGCTAATTAAATGAAACTAATGTCTCAGTGGATAGCTTGGTTCAACTTATTGCAAAATTTGGGAATAATAAGGAATATGATAAAATAATAATTTTGTAGTAGCAATGTAGCACGGGGAAAAAATATATTAATTCTTTGTTTCTTATAAAACTTATTAAGATAATGTTGACTGTGAGTTGTCGACTTAAGGTCTCTTTATGTATGTCAACAAATATGGCTCAAATAAAGTATTTGTCGGTGCTCTTCAAGAAGAGATTGTCTATGCTTCTATCAATTGTCGGCCACACAAAAGATCCCTCTGAAAGTATCCAAGGTATACTAACTATATTACTACTTAATAGTTTTTTGTGATCTTGACACTGTTTATAAGGATGATTATCATAATCCCATATTTTCTGTAAGTTACTAGTTTCTGACAATACTTCATATTAACATTCCAAATGACATTAGTATCACCTTTTCTTTTGAACATGACATGTCCAGTTTCTGTTCCCTTCTCAAATAAGCAGAAAAAATCCTTTGTTATTAGATATATGATATGTTCTATGCATGCCACATGGTCTGCAGTTGCATTGAAATATTTCATGTAAATAACCAAATCTGCTTATAGCAACCAGCTGCTGCTAAACAGATTCTGGTCCTGTTCTATGTCTTCTTATAGCAGCTGCTGCTAAACAGATTCTGGTCCTGTTCTATGTCTTCTTATAACAACGAGAGACTTGGTCACAGACTCGGATTTTCTACAATATAAAACACACACTGCTACACACGGTAACCAATCTTAGTCATGATTTGAAATTCAATTGTTCATGTTACACAATCATTATATATATTATAAACAAGTTTGATTGTTGATTTGAGATCAGATTGTCAAAATCTATAACTGCAGTTACAACACAAAATTTTACTACTCAGCAAGTCTTCTATTACCATTGACCAACATTGTTTTTCAGCCAACACCAATACAATATTCATGGATTCCGTCACTCATCTACTCTTAAACTTCAAAAAGGGGCATTTCGAGAATTGAACTCAGGACCTCTCACACCCTAAGCGAGAATCATACCACAAGCCCAAATGCACCTTGCTTTTCTATCTATTTGGCCTTTGTTAGATAGATAGATATGGTAAGTTTACACTCATTATTGTTTCTTTGGGGTTTTCTGGTTTGAAGCATTTGGCATTACATCACATTATACGGAAGAACTTGGCTAAATAATAATCTTTCTTGCAGGCCTACGGAGCTCTTATGAAGGCACTTACAGAGCACAATAAGGTATATATTTCACATTGCGTTATAAGATTTCACCTTATTCTGATAACTGTACCAGATGTTTTTACAATTTTAGTGGTATCATTTCAATTTGGAAATCTTCCGTACGGTTTTCGTGCAAACACATGGGTAGTGTCGTAAAGAATACAATACTAATAGCAAAACGTTAATATTAGTAATAATTTTGATAAAGTATAAATGGTTAAACGTAATCGCATGGATAGTGTCGTGTCAGTGCTGCATAGCATATGGTATATAACTTTATTATGTAATTTTTAATATGTATTTTCTAATATGAAGTTGTTTCTAAGGTTTTGTAAGTGACTAAATAATCATTTGAGTTTTTGAATATGTTAGGTGGTGTTATTATAACTTTTCAATGTATCTAAATTACAAAATCATCTCTGAATGTGTTTATTACTAGTTAGCGTAGTTCTCAAATGTGTCTTTTATTAGTTAGGTTTGATCTCACATGTGTCTTTTGTTTGTTAGATCGGTATGAACTTAATAATAGACGACACACACAAGGATTTTTTTTCAAGTTCTGATGCATTCAGATGCTACCGTGACACAACTTTACACATTTAAAGACCAAAATAACTATTTAAAGACTAGTAGAGGTTTATATCTATTTTTCTTTCAATAGTGTGTTTGCTTGGTACATAACCTAACGCAACTTACATTCATTAATGATTTATATGTTGCTTCCAACAGAGCAATAAGAGTCTAAATGGTATGGACAGTGATTGGTTTTAAATGCTAAAAAAGTTAAGTTTGACTTAAAACACTGTTAGTTTTTGGTTTTAAATGCTAGTTTATGAATTATAAATTTGCAGGGGAACTATCTTGTTGACATTGTATTTGGTGGTACGGACAGCGTACAGCTGAAAGGACCCAAGATTACAGTTGAACTTAAGTTAAATAAGTAATACTTTCTACTGTATTAGTAGCTGTATTTTTTTTTTTTGTAAAAGCATTAGCAATATATGTGTAAACTTGTCTGTTATTTGTCATGCAGATTTTGAAACCAACTTTTACAATCATAGTTGATCACAAGATGAAGTGTCTTTTATTGTTTATTCGTAGCACGCATAGTATCAAGGATACTCTAACAGCTATTACAGGAATTGTGGTACCATTTCATCACACTGTAGTTCATAGGGGGAGTTAGTGACTTGGTTTTAGGATATGCACATGTGGAATGGTTGTTGTTGCACGTTGGATTGCAAAGCTTGCAACTCATTGTCTCCTTGATGCACTTGGCCAATACCCAGATTATGAAGTTAAGGTAAAAATGTTTGTCTTTATAACATCCCTGACTCTTTGACTAAGTAATCCCTTTAACAAGTTTCCCTGTTATACCATGATAGAATTTTTCTTAAAATATTCTTATCAAGCATTTATAAGTAGTATGCCTTTTGTCAACACTAAAGTAGCTAAGAATAGGAAGCTTGTGGAACAGTCTGAGCTTGAGTTGGAAGAATGTGAAGCGCTGAAGAAGGAACTGACTGAGAAGCTGAAAGCAGTATGTGAGAAAGAGACTCTTAGCAAAGAGAATCTGGCCAGAGCAAAGGATGAGTCTGCCGCGACATCTCGAATAATCGGGTTTGCCATAGCTAAAGTCGGTCGCTTTCTTAATTGCTCAATGGTTGATGCTTTGATTTAGCTATCCAATTTCAGTTTTCTGTTTTCTTCTGTGTAATGGTTTTAGGATTACTTTCTGTGTCTGTTATGGTTGCATGTGTAACATTATAGCCAACCATTCAGAATGTTCATATGAATGTGCCTTGTAGATTTGATTCTATGGTTACTTAAGGTTGAAGTAAAAACAGTGTTATACTTTATTGGGAATTGATGTATTCTCTTACTAATAGTAGTACCAACAAGTTCATCTCAAAAGTTTTACTCATTATGTCCACCATTTGATTATTTGTCAAGTTTACTCTATTGTTGCTTTGTTTTAAATCACTAGTTGGATATGATCATCGTTCCTTACACATAATGTATTCAAATGTTATAGGACATAAACCAAATGAGCCTATTATAAACTCAACTTTTGGGAATAATATTACTTAAATATATTTGCACACTTATGTAAATATTCTTTTAGAGAAAAAAATACATTAACTTTTTTATGAATCAGTTATTTCTATAATAAAAATAATAAGAAATTAAATTAGATTTTTATTTTTATATTATTGTTACTTTGATATTTAACAATTATTATAATATTTTAAATATGCATTAAACACAATTTAATGATAAAAACTAAAAACCTGAGAGAGAAATTACTTGCAACTTTACCTGCGACATTTATATTTGCTGCGACTTTTCCTGCAAAAATTTCAATTACCAGCGGCGTTATCTGCGAATTTATCTACTTTACCTGCGACTTTTATCTTCGACATTTTCCTGCGAAAATTTCAATTACCAGCGGTGTTATCTGCGAATTTATCTACTTTACCTGCGACATTTTCCTGCGAAAATTTCAATTACCAGCGGTGTTATCTGCGAATTTATCTACTTTACCTGCGACTTTTATCTGCGACATTTTCCTGCGACTTTACCTACTAATTATATTACCCACGAAGGTTTTAGCTGGGAGTAGAAAATAACAGGAAATACGTTTCCTGCGGAAAATTTATCAAAATCCGCAGGTAAAAGCGCAGGAAAACAGAGTATTTCACACTTATAAGTTATAAGCTCGAAATAGTATTCTAAAGAGAACCAAATTTATAAGTTATATGCTCGAAGAGAACCTTTGAGATCAAAGTGAAGCCTTTATATCACCACCATTGTGAGCATCCTCTTTTCTTTGTCTTTTATTCTCTTTTGATTAATTATTAATTTAAGTATGAGGAATATGAATTACTTTTGATTAGCTTGTGAGCATCGCTGTTTTATTTCTCTTTTCTACCATTATGTCACTAATTTCATGAGAGAAAAATCATTTGAAAGGGAGAAAGATGGTGTCACAATTGTTAAATTAAAGACTAATTCGAGAGAAAAATCTAGGTTAGTTATTCCTCTGTTGAAGGATCCTATCCTAACGTTCCAACACATGAGAGTATCCAATCTCTTTATTGATGAAATCTAGCTTAATTATTTAAACTAACTGTTTAAATTAGATTCACGTTTGAATAACTATACACAATTTTTTATCAAAGAATTTTATGATCTAATTACAATGCTAAAGTTCCTGAAACCATGCACTTTTAACATGGTCAATACGGTCCACGAAATCTCTCTTTTTCCAAGACAGCACAATATCTTCTACTAAAACTGTCATTTTTCATAGCTTGTCTTGTTGCTTATCATTTTTTCAAAGTTTTATATCTTAATTTTTGTAACCGCAACATGAAGCTTTCTACTAGTTATATTATGCACATATGGTGGACTTGGGAGATTCATCTAAACTTGTGAAATTGCTTGCTCCAGATATTTGATAGTTTTCTGATATTTGAAGACACCCATAAACCAGAAATCAAAATTATCCACTGTAACTATATTTATGTACTTCTGTCTTGGTTTCTCAACATTTTCACTTTGATTCACACACTTTATCTTCTTCACTGGAATGACAACCTGCACATAACAAATCTTGGATTAGGGAAATTCAAATATATGGAGAGGTTTGTTTATGTACGGTATATTAGTTCCTGAATTACCTTATAGCGGATCCTACACATTTGACCTTTCTGATTAAAGACTTTTATGTATCTGTCACTGCAAAAGGAAACTTTTTCAGTGGAGATGAAGAGGAGACCAGCTAGAGGGCCAGATGTGGTGGACAGATAACAATGGCAAACTTTCAACAGCCTCTCCCCCTCCATCACGCTAAAATACTTTGTGAACATTTTCTCCACTCCACCCACTTGAAGAATTCTTGCCCCTAAGCTCAACTTCCTTTTTATAGTTTCCGATATGTTTGTTCCAAGTCTTGCTGAAGTTTCAGAATTACTATCGGCCTTCCTGCTGCGCTTTTTCTGGTTAGAACTTGCTCTACCTGAAACATTGAAGCACTCTATATTAGTATAATTATCAATACTTAATGAAATTAGATTCGATAATTGTGATTTGTCCTTCTGTTAAGGAAAAGAAAGTCTTACATATGCTTTGATGTTTGGATGGATATTGACATTGATGAGAGGCAGAATCAAGTAAGTATCTGTTATCCGACTTTTGAAACTGGTCATATATGATTGGAGTTCCAATAACTAGTTCGTGAAGAAGTGAGGTCTGCATGTTGAATGATTAATAAGGTTGTGTTTCGTTGAAAGAAGAATTGCCTGGTAAGGAAGCTATGGTCACTTGTTTAGATCAGTCCCTTTGTATTGTTAAGAGGTAGGATTTAAAGGGATGAAAAGTAGGATTAAAATCTTAAGCCTTATGTGTGATGACTCAACCGTGATCTTGGTGATGTAATAAAGACACTACTGACATGGAAACTTGAAAGACTTTATTTAAGATAATATTTTGACATCATGGATTGTTTGGTTGCTTTTAGAAAAACACGGTAAAGAAAGATATAAGTTAGCTTTTTCATTAAAAAAAAAAGGATTTATTTTTAGAGGCTCAGAGAAAAGGTTATATATGTTGAGGAGCAAGATTCCATAGTATGCATGTGACACGTGTCAGCCAACTGTTTGGGGGAAAATGGGTATAAGTAAAGAAAGAAATACTTTTGAAGGATGCATCAGCTTAACTTTAGTAGTTGGCTTATTAACTGTGATATTATATTTGTCTAATTTCTTTTGCAGTTAAGAAGATATTGTAAATAAGGGTTTGTTCCTAGAATAAGGGTTTGTTTCTAGAATAAAGGAAACAAATTAGAAATTAACTTGTTCTCATTAAAATGTAATTATTTAGTGTAATTACCAATATAGCCCTGTAACCTCTATATATACGAGAAATAATAATGAGAAAAGGAGGAAGCCAAGAATTATTGACATGGTATCAGCCTCGTAGATCAAATCTGTGATTTTCTGGTTCTGATTTTTTTCTCTCTTGGTTCTGTGACAACATCCTGATCAATTCAGTTTGTTGTTTCTTCGTTTCTGGTTCTTGATCGTTCCCCGTGGAATTCGTTTAGCGTCGATTGCCATCGTGATTCTGGGTTTAGGGCTTCGGCTTACTTCGGTTGTTTGCGATCCTCCTTTCACGAATATTGATTCTAGGTCGTGACCGGTTTGTTTTTCGTGGTTATAATTTTGTTTTAATTTGGTTTGTGGTTTGTGGTTATAATTTGGTTCCGCCGCTAATTCCAAATTGAAACATTGGAATTGTTACGGCTTCACGAGTGGTACTGTTCTTGGGATATATTGGTGGTACTGCACGAGCTTTGTTCCTTTTGGTTGCAGGTTGTTATTATAATAATAATAAGTATTATTATAATAATAATAATAATAATAGTAATACATCAATAGTGAGGTTGAATCTAATTACAACATAATTTCAATGGCTTCCGAAAAAGAAAGAGATAACTTCTGTGTTCGTTTCACCGGCAAGAATTATTCGGCTTGGAAATTTCAATTCAAGATGTATGTTAGAGGAAAGGGATTATGGAGTCACTTAGATGGTGTTTCTGAGGCCCCGGCGGATAAAACTGCTTCAGATGTATGGGAAACTCAAGATGCTCAAATCATCACTTGGATTCTCAATAGTATTGATCCTCAGATGATAAATAATTTGCGCTCCTTTTCAACTGCTCAAGAAATATGGAATTATCTGAAGCGCATTTACAACCAGGACAATTCGGCAAAACGTTTTCAATTGGAGCTAGACATAGCCAACTACAAACAAGGTGACCTACCTATTCAAGAATACTATTCTGGTTTTCTGAATCTCTGGACAGAACACTCTGCTATTATACATGCTAATGTTCCCAAAACCTCTCTCACTGTTGTTCAAGAGGTCTACGACACAAGTAGGCGAGATCAATTTCTCATGAAACTTCGTCCAGAATTCGAGATTGTTAGAGGCGCTTTGCTCAATAGGAATCCTGTTCCTTCTTTGGATACTTGTGTCGGTGAACTTCTAAGGGAGGAACAACGTCTACTTACGCAAGGAACCATGTCTCATGATGCTGTTAGTTCCGAACCTGTGGCAATTGCATATGCTGCTCAAAGTAGAGGAAAGGGTCGTGATATGCGACAAGTTCAATGTTTTTCTTGCAAACAATTTGGACATGTAGCTCGCAATTGCAGTAAGAAGTTTTGCAACTATTGCAAACAACAGGATCATATCATCTCTGACTGTCCCACACGTCCTCCCCGACCAGTACAACGTCCAACCCAAGCATTCCATGCCACTACTAACTCTGAAGTTGGTCCTCTCAGTACTGGTATCGGTAGTGTTCTACAACCTGAAATGATTCACCAAATGGTACTTTCTGCTCTTTCAGCCTTGGGAATTCAGGGTAAGTCTTCTAATAATTCTCAATCATGGTTTCTTGATTCTGGTGCATCCAATCACATGACGGGTTCCTCTAAATACTTACAAAATGTACATTCCTATAATGGTAATCAGCAAATTCAAATTGCTGATGGTAATAAACTTTCTATCACTGATGTTGGTGACATAGACTCAAACTTTCGTGACGTGCTTGTATCACCCGGACTTGCTTCCAACTTATTGTCGGTTGGTCAATTGGTGGATAACAATTGTAATGTTAGTTTTTCTCGTGTTGGTTGTCTTGTGCAGGAGCAGGTGTCGGGAAAGGTGATCGCGAAGGGGCCTAAAGTGGGAAGATTGTTTCCACTCCAGTTTAGTTCTAGTCATTTATCCTTTGCATGTAATACTGTTTTGAACTCTTATGAGGATTGGCATAGAAAATTAGGCCATCCAAATTCTGTTGTTTTGTCTCATTTATTTAAAACTGGTTTGTTGGGAAATAAACATGCGTGTACTACTTCTATTTCATGTTCTGTTTGCAAATTGGCTAAAAGTAAAATCCTCCCTTTTCCGTCAGGCGCTCATCGTGCTTCTACTTGTTTTGAGATGATTTATAGTGATGTGTGGGGAATGTCTCCTGCAACATCTCATGCTCACTATAAATATTTTGTCACATTTATTGATGATTACAGCCGCTTTACTTGGATATATTGTCTTAGATCTAAGTCTGAAGTGTTTTCTATGTTTCAGAAGTTTTTGACATATGTTGAAAATCAATTTCAAGCAAGTGTTAAAATTTTTCGATCTGACTCGGGAGGTGAGTATATGTCTCATGCATTTCAGGAATACCTTCAACAAAAAGGGATCTTGTCTCAACGGTCTTGTCCCAATACCCCTCAACAAAACGGGATGGCAGAGCGAAAGAATCGTCATTTGCTTGATGTAACACGCACATTACTTCTTCAAGCTTCTGTGCCATCCCGATTTTGGGTTGAGGCTCTTTCCACAGCCGTATTCTTGATCAATCGTCTTCCTTCTACGGTTATTGATTTTGATTCTCCCTTCTTTCGCCTTTTTAAAATTCAGCCTAGTTATAATGATTTACATATTTTTGGATGTGTTTGTTTTGTGCACTTACCTCCATTTGAAAGACATAAGCTTGGAGCACAGTCTGTTCAATGTGCGTTTATGGGGTATAGTCACTCACATAAGGGATTTGTGTGTTATGATGTCACTAACCATCGTTTTCGCATTTCTAGGAATGTGACATTTTTTGATAATCAGTTTATGTATCCATGCGTTTCTCCTGTCATGAATGATATTGTTACTCTTCCTAAGTTCTCTATTATGCCTCAATCTATAGAGCGTTATAAACCAGGTCATGTATATGTCAGAAAACACAAACAGCAGGTTCTCACACCCCTTCCCGACGCTGAACCGCCACCTGATCCTGTAACGGTTGAACCACGACGTTCTGTTCGAATATCTCGAGCACCAGACAGATATTCACCAGACAGGTATGATTCAGCACATACTTCTCTGACTGCCACCCTCTCTGGCATATCTATTCCTACTTGTTATTCACAGGCTGTTAAAGATGTACGTTGGATAAAAGCAATGAATGAGGAACTTCAAGCTCTTCAAGAGAATTTCACATGGGATATTGTCTCTTGTCCTCCAGATGTCAAACCCATTGGCTGCAAATGGGTGTATTCTGTGAAATTGAATTCGGATGGGTCCCTCAACCGTTTCAAGGCTCGCTTGGTTGCCTTAGGAAACAAGCAGGAATATGGAATTGATTATGATGAGACATTTGCACCGGTTGCTAAAATGACATTCGTTCGTACGGTACTCTCTATAGCTGCTTCTAACGGGTGGGCTCTTTATCAATTAGATGTGAAAAATGCTTTTCTTCATGGTGACCTCGCGGAAGACATTTATATGACTCCTCCTCAAGGTTTATTTTCATCATCTAAGGGTGTGTGCAAGCTTAAACGCTCCTTATACGGTTTGAAACAAGCACCTAGAGCATGGTATGAAAAATTCCGCTCCACTCTACTTGGGTTCTCCTTTACTCAGAGTCAGTATGATTCTTCTTTATTTATTCATAGAACGTCTACTGAAATTGTCCTACTTCTTCTGTATGTTGATGATATGATTATTACTGGTTCTGATCATGCTTCCATTCAAAGCCTTAAACAGCAGTTACAAGCAGCGTTTCATATGAAAGATCTTGGTAATTTGCATTATTTTCTTGGTCTTGAGGTTCATTCTACATCCAAGGGCATATTCCTCCATCAACACAAGTATGCCACAGATTTAATTTCCATGGCTGGTCTCCAATCGGCTAATCCAGTGGATACTCCGCTTGAGGTTAATGTTAAATATCATCGTGATGATGGTGATCTGTTGCCTGATCCCTTATTGTATCGTCAACTCGTGGGTAGCCTTAATTACTTGACTATTACTCGCCCTGACATATCGTTTGCTGTTCAACAAGTAAGTCAATTCATGCACTCTCCTCGCCACCTTCACTTGGCAGCAGTTCGTCGTATAATTCGTTACTTGAAGGGAAGCTCTCATCATGGTTTATTCTTTCCTAGTGGAGTTGCTCCTAAATTGAGTGCTTATAGTGATGCAGATTGGGCAGGGTGTCCTGATACTCGACGATCTGTCACTGGTTGGTGCATGTTTCTTGGCTCTTCATTGATCTCATGGAAAAGTAAGAAACAAGCGAGAGTCTCTAAATCTTCTACTGAATCTGAGTATCGTGCCATGTCTGCTGCTTGTTCTGAAATAATTTGGCTTCGTGGTCTTTTGGCTGAACTTGGATTTCCTCAAATAGAGCCAAC